TATATATATATATATATATCTATATATGTATATATATATAATCTATATATATATCATACCATTGTGCACCTATTGAGTATACATCCCCGTATATCACGATGATCGTTCAGGGTTGGAGTTTAGAGTTTTGGCTGGAATATGTGTGGTTGAATGTTGGGTGTTCATTGTGTATCCATCTGTGTGTGTAAGTTGTGAAGGCATCCATATATGGAACGATACTGTTTCAAGCAATGCCCATGTTTTGCGTAGCAGTAATGCAATTGGCACGACCGCAGCAAGCGATGGCCAGACCACAGGTGTGAAGATTAGAATACATGCACGCTTACATGTGTGCATGTGCGAATATTCCTGTGAATATATGGACGTGTACATGCAGGCTTACATGTGTGTATGTGCGACTATTCTTGTAAGTACATGCACGTATACATGCACGCTTACATGTGTGTATGTGAGACTATTTCTGTGAATACATGCGCGTATACATGCACGCTTACATGTGTGTATGTGTGAGTATTCTTGTGAATACATGCACGTGTATATGCACGCTTACATGTGTATATTTGAGACTATTCCGGTTTTTGAGTACATTTGTAGTGTTTATTATCCGGTACTGCGTCAAATACCTCATGCTGGTTAGAGATACAAGTGTGTGTATAGAAGCAGCGCATGCTTGCCACAACCCGGATCCATGTATGAGCACTTGTGTGTATAGATTTCTAGTCACTAAAGTTAATTCCACACACCCACATCCACATACCTGCCTCCTTTTTCTGTACTATGTATAAGCACACACATCTCTACGTCCATGTACTCACACCCATCTACTTCCATGTCCTTGTTCGTCTATGCGTCATTGTACAGCCTTCCTCTTCCCAATGATAGTCCACATAATGGATCAGGAAGAGCTGCCGGTGGGAGAGGGTCCCATTGCGCTAGTGAGTGTGTCCTGTGCATTTGTGTGGCTGTTGGATGTGTGTGCTTTATTCTGGTGTAGTTTAGTCTGTTCGATGGTTTGCCTCCATATACGTGGTAGTATACATCCTGATTGGTTGCTTGAATATGCTGGGTAGGGTGTTAGGGTTTTAGCCTAGCTTGTTTGGTATGATCTGATAAGCTCGGTGTGTAGATTGCCACTGTCGTATGCATAGTGAGCGCATGGCCTTGTGCTAGTAAACGAAACACACCCACGCGTGGTGCATGCGTGTGGGGTTGGGAGTGAAGGAGTGAGTATGACCTGTGTATGTGAATGCGTTGGATGAATTCTTCATGAAGACAGTCTCACAAACCCTAAACTCTTAAACCCTAAACAATACACCATAAATTCTAGTGTCGTGAAGTGTGGTATTAGGGATGGTACAAGTCAGTGGGATATGTAATCTGAGGGTGTAAGGTTTTGGGGTTTAGCATTTATGAGCTGTATTAGTCAGCTGTGCTGATGAAACCCAAGTACAGGACTTTGTAGTACAGGGATGCAGGGGGTTCAGGGTTTGTGGATATACAAGCTCATAACCGCGAATGCATACATCCACAATGGTGCATCCCATGACATTTGCTTTCGATTGATACTTTCTGACTGCTCACAAACAGCAGACACAGCCTCGTACATTTGGATTGACTACCACTGTATACCAATTACAAGACCACTTCGTCAGTCATAGTCCTGTTATTTGGGGCAGGTGCATGCACCTAGGATTTGGTGCATGTATCTTTATGGATTAAGGGTGCCCTATGACAATACGTACAAGACTACTTCATCAGTCATGGTCCTGTTATTAGGGGCAGGTGTATGCACCTAGGATCAGGTGCATGTATCTCCATGGATTCTAAGTGCCCTATGACAATACGTACAAGACTACTTCATCAGTTATAGTCCTGTTATTTGGGGCAGGTGCATGCATGGATTAAGAGTGCCCTATGACGATGCTCATGTATTGTTTTGTACTTTTCGGGTGCGTTGATCAAACAGATCGTGGCACCGACTCGTGAGCTGGTTCAGCAAATCTACGTCGAGGCTAAGAGGTGTGCCGCCACATGTGTGTCTAGTCTAAAGTATCTGTAACTGCCTATATATGCATCTGCAAGTGGAAGAAAGGGTGCAGATGTAAGGATTAACACACTCTCGCTATATATGTTAATGCATGCAGCGGTGACAGCGTGCGGCACACACACACACACACACACATA